CCTCCTACGAAGCTTTCACGCGCTGGCGGCTATTGATCGGTGCGCCAAACCGAAGATTTGGCGCACGGATCAATAGCTGCCAGCGCGTGATACTTTCGTAGGAGGTTCCCGCGGTCGCGTGCGCCTTGCCGCGGAACTGCGCGCAAGATTCGCGCTTAGCGGGCAGGATCAACACCTCTCAGGCGACGCTTCTCTGGTATCCGGTCTTTCATCTGGGTATATACACCTAAATATATCAAATATGTTTAAATGTGTTGCTGGTAATAGCTTTCACTAGCAACAAGGCATCCCACAATAAAAAACTGTACAGAATCCACAACCGAGGAAAGCCTTGTCACAAGACAACTAACCTCTTTGCACCCGACCGATCGATCTATTTTTTCTCAGACGCCCCACATCTGATTAAGACAGTGCGAAACAATCTGGCAAGTTTAGGATGGGGAACGAAAACAAAACACTTCTGGGTAAGTGAACAAAAATCACTTAATTTATTCTTTACTCAAAACAATAAATATGCATTCATCATTTAATACATTTTCATGTTATTGTAGAACAACGGGAAACATTTGCTATGGAGTCATATCGTAGCGCTGTACAAATCGGACACAGATTCCCTGCTTCGGAAGACCAAGCTGACATGCGATCACGTTTACCTCACCCCACACGCTAAGATGAGAGTGAATTTGGCAGCACAAGTAAGTTGTAATAGGGTTGAAACAAATTCACGATATGTTAAGTTTATAATTTAAATACATTTGCTAACAATAGACAGGTGTATTATAGTACATTGATGATTTTGAATGATCTAAATTTAAATTAATTGCATTTAGGTGCTTAGCTACTCTGTAGGACGCCTGCTGCAGGCAAATTCAGGAGAAGAGGCGCAGGAAACAGCCAAATTCGTCCTGCTTATGGACAGATTTTTCGACTGTCTGAACGTACGATCGCACAATGAGGCCGAGCGGAAAAGGAAGCCTGATCTGCTGCCCTTCCGGAATGCTGATGATGCCCGCTTTCATGTAAGAGTTGTGTATGACTTTAGTCTTCATACCAATCTTTTATATTGTAAATCTATTGCACTGCACTGCAAAATTTAATATTTTAGTTCCTTGAACACGAGTTCCTCGGCTACGTCAATGAATGGGCAAATGCAGCTGCAACCAGACCTGGCAACTACACGAAGGCTGCTAGAAATGCCATGTTTTTGTCACAGCAAACGTCTGAAGGGTTATGGATGACAGGTAGCGCTAAGAACATTACTGCACGTTATTACTGCACATTATACGTACTGCCAGTAATGCTGTACAGGCATTGATGTAGTTTTATAGTGTATTCACTGTTCTGAATTAAAGTATTAGTAAGACTAATCAGCTGTCGTAACCTTTGACTTATTTCCATAGCATTATGCTTGCAGTACATTCTGTGATTGAAGCGACAAGATACCTACTCAACAATGGCGTCGAGTTCGTCTTCACCAATGTTTTCTGCCAAGATCCTATAGAGGAGCACTTTGGCCGCCACAGAGGTCTAGGGAGAAGATGCGATAACCCTAATCTTTGGACATTTGGGTTGGTAAACTATAGAATATTTAGATAATATTAGATGGCCTTGAGTGGGATACATGGAAATATTGCACGAGCTGTGACAAAATATTGGACTCTTTTTCGAAAATATGGCATCCAATATTATAATTATTATCTAGACGCCCCATAAAAATTGAAAATTGAGATTTACATGGTTTTTAAAAGTCGAAGATAAATCGGTTAACAAACTGTCGCCATTTTTGTGCGTTTCAACTCCAGCATTATTTATGTTATCCATGCACCTTCGCAGGTAGCTGACGAATACCCGAAAATATTATCGGTCCTAAAACGCTCTATCTAGATAATATGAATAATCACTTATGTGTGTCTCTTATGTAACTGCTCACTCCAATGATAACACTCTAATTTTGACGTTTATTTATCTAGATACCAAGAGAATAAAATCCGCATGCAACGGTCTCTCGCACATGCATTCTACTCCAGAGGCAATGTCACCAGCCACATGAAAAGACAACGACTGAGTGCTATCTCAAATAGTCCTTTGAAGAACTGCAAACGAAAATGAACGACTAATGCTGCGTTTACACTATTGATTTTTGTCAGCTAATCGTAATGATTTCAAGTGCATTCCAACACAATCGGCTGAAATTCGATTGTGTTGGATTCTGAGTTGGAGTCAAGTCGCCGAGTTGGAGAAATAGAACGTCTCCAACTCGGCCCGACTCCGACTCCAACACAATCAAATTTCAGCCGATTGTGTTGGAATGCACTTGAAATCGGTACAATTTGCTGACAAAAATCGATAGTGTAAACGCAGCATAACAACTAGCAGGTGAATGTTGTGTTGTGTTTTATCTACTTGTCACCCTCATCTGGTTTACGCTGAAGTTGTTTGCGGAGAGCTTTTTGCTTGTATGAGGCACGTTTCTGCTGGTTATATTGATCAATGAGTTTTTTACATTTGTTGTGTACACGAATTTTGAAGTATAATTTCACACAGTCTACTAACACTTTCTCTTTAATTTCTTCTGTAGTGTCAACACTGTATACAGACTCGTAGTAGGCACAGATGATTTGATCAGTTTTCAAACATTCTGAAATAAACTCTGACATTGCGTGACTCATTTCAGACGAGGAAAACAACTGCCGAAATGTCACTTCCATCGCAGTAAATGCCAAGCCAATGTTTGCCCTAGGCCTACGAAGGCCACCTCTGCTGAGCACGCTAATGTGATCGTGTGGACTTTGCTCGGAGGCAGGTTCCTGAGATGACATTGCATCACTAAGTGCTAATATGTCGGTTTTTGTAGTGCATGGTTGCAAACGGAAGGCTCGCTTGCGCAAGCTATGGACAACACTGCCAGCAATGTATTGCACAATTTCCTGATCTGATTTAGAAATTGTAATGTCAGTTTTCTTCGATTGGGGACGTTGTTTTGCATTTTGTTTTAAAATCGCCTGAAAAACACGAAGAGCGATCCATGAAGCGGTCTGAGGACAGCCAATTGTCTCTGTTAGGCTTTTGTGCCTAAGTACAAGTTCTGCATGGAAAGCTTGCATGGACTTCTCTCGCATAGCTGATGCAAAGATGCTCTGCTTAGCCATGCAACTGTCAATAAACCTCAGTCCCTCTGTGAGCTTTGAAAGAGCTGGAATATAAGAATGTTTGTATATATGTATAGAGAATACTATTATGGTTATGGTACTAGATTATTCCAACTTATGGAATGTATGAGGAATATGTTGAAATTTTAACAGCTTGTACATAATCGAACATGTTTAACCGATTACTCTGAAACTTTGTAGAGATGTGCTTACACCATGTTTAGCTATTGGGACTTAACTGTTTGCATTATCAAGGCTTTTGATCAGAGCTCGCATTTCTTCAGGGAGTCCATTGTCTTTCATCATGTTGCGCAAGACATTGCTTACATGAAGACCACTCAGCTAAATATATAAAGTATGGAGAAAGTGTAAATATGTAGAAGTTTCACCTAGATGTAAATATAGACGTACTTGTGACAATAATTAAGACGTAATTGACAAATATGTGTTTTAATGCAGTTCCTGTTACAGTGTTTACAGCGTATTACTTGCAACTACAGTAAACTCTCGTTAAGCCGCAGTATTCGACATGTCGTAATTTGATCCAAGTCGGAATAAATGGCTCTATGTCACGTGCCGATGGAAACGGCTGTGATTGGCTATTGTGAAGTGATGCGCGACACTGTTGCTGATTTTAGAAGCGTTTCTGAATAGTTTTGTCATTACGGTTGTTGCCGGACGTTGTCGCGTGTATGTGCAACAGCTTGCAGGAAACAATATAGTTTATAATTTTATGAAATGTCGTTAAACGTTACGGTTGTAAGTGTTATTGTTTCTTTAGTCATAACATTATTGTTATGTAGTAGGAATTTTGTAAAAATTATAACGACTTAAGGATGATAGGAGTAGTATTGCCTGTAAGTCGTACATTTACCTAAGCCGTAAGGCCTGGAGCCCCAAGCGTTACAACTTAGAGAGGCTTCATGCACTGTATATGAATATACCTTGGTGTCGGATTCTTGCCCTGAAGATGCACTCGTACCTGATTCTTCAGTGATTGTAGACTCAGTGTCCAGTTCGTTCTATGCGAGTATAATTTTTATTAATTGTATTGATGTTGTAACATTGACATCGTCATTGCGATTAACACAAATATATGAATCAAAATTGAGTAATTGTTTATTCATAGTGAATTGCTAGTGCTAGTACTAGTAGTACTGTAATAGTACTTTAGCAGCATCAGTAGTACTAGCTTTAGTACTATAGCCCGCGTACAGTTGCCGCAACCTGCGCAACCACAACCTGCAAAGTGCAGCCTATAGAGCTACTAAGCTCATAGGGTCTATGTCTCCCAGTGTACTGCCGGAACGTGCCCTGGGTACGGTCCGGTATACCGGAACGTACCCTGGTCACTAGTTGATATGGTTAAAGTTAGGGTTAGGGTTTGGGTTTGGGTTAGGGAGTAGGCGTAAGCGACTTCCTAGACTCGTTAGTGGAGTAGGCGAGACACGGTCCGGTATATTAGATAGTACCAGGGTACGTTTCGGTATACCAGACCGTACCCAGGGTACGTTCCGGCAGTACCCCGGGGGACATAGACCCTCTCAGCGCTACTAAGCTCGAACCCTACTAGAGCTATAGAGTATAGTAGTAGTAGTAGTAGTACTAGTAGTACTACTATAGTAGTAGTAGTAGTAGTAGTAGTAGTAGTAGTAGTACTAGTAGTAGTAGTACTACTAGTAGTAGTACTAGTAGCAGCTATAGTAGTAGTACTACTAGTACACTACACTACTAGTGTACTAGTACTAGTGTTGTACTGCGAAGAGGTGTAGATCTCCGTGCAGGATGGACGAGTCGACAGCGTAGAGTAACAGCGTTGTCCCGTAGATAACCAGTAGAGGTTTAGCAGCAGCAGCGTAGAGAGCAGAGATAACCACGGTAGACGTAGACGTAGACGTAGTCACGGATTAGTAGTTTCACATAGACCCTTTTTTATTATCTACACATACAAATATATATATACATAATACAGCCTATAGGCAACCATGCCTATAGGCTCTCTGACTGACTACATAGTCTCTCTAAATCTTATATCTTCTGTCTGTTTCGCTTGTCAAATGCTGCTTATATAGATGGGATCAAAACCGGCTCTAGAAACTCGTCTGTCTAAAACCAGACCCTTGCTGGGAAGCAAGCGATGCCCGCTCGTAGGTGCATGCGTCGTGTCACTTATTCTCTAGCGCAAGGCGGATGCGGAAGGCGCACCCGTCTATTGTCGTTTGCGCGTTCGTCAACCCTCCTATACATGTAGATGTTCTAGGTGTGACGTTCTAAGCGTCACGTCCGGTTACCCGCTTGCTGCATACAATAATTCTTCCTTCCATCCTTCCATTCCATGTCCCCACAAAAAATACAGTTTGCATTAAAAACATTAAACCTTAAAAGTTGAAAACATTAGTCCAAGCTTGCAAACATCAAACAGTGCCATAATACCTGTTAGTAGGTGTGCTCTATGCTGTAATTTTACAAGCCCGGCACCGACCGCGTTTACGTGTGATATAGCGATGGTAAATCCTTGGGGTAGAGAAGGGATGGAATGTTCGGTTTTGAAACGAGTTGAGGGGGATCTGCAGCTGTCTAGTAAAAATGACGTCTCATTTTCCGTATCACAGGGGGGGTCGACAGTCTGCAACGGTAACTCAACTCGAATCGGCATGGAAAGGCTAGGGAAGGATGAAGCTGAAGCTGGGGATTTCACTGCAAACGAGTTGGAGGAGGGGACCACCAAGGAGCTGGAGGACGGAACCGCCATGGACCCGGAGGACGGGACCACCAAGGACCGGGACGATGGGATCATCATGGACCGGGACGACGGGACCACCATAGACCGGGACGACGAGACCGATGGGGAGATGGAGGACCGGACAACACAGCCACTGAATCCAACGAATGAAGACAGCAGTAGAAACCAACGTGAAAAAATATTAATTTTGGGCGACTCAATAGTCAGACAGACAGTAAAGACAGTAAGTAACAATGGAGAAAGGAGGGATAGGTGTGTATTAACATTTGGAGGGGCTGGGGCACAGGATATAGAAGAAAGGCTAGACAGAGTAGTTAATCGGGAAGATAGTCTGGGAACA